CTTGCCGTTTGTTGATTCCCATTTCCTGCACAGAAGTCCGTTATGCAGCGTAAGGCTTTTCCACTGTGCCCATAAACCTTTCGTCACCGCGCTATATTGGGCGACGTCACTCCAACTTGGCTTGTTACCACTTCGTAGCCACTCCAGTATTGGTTTAATATCTGCATCTCTTTCCTGTTCTAATTTCATCGCATCATCTCCCCATGCCTCGTCAACAGTATCAGTCCTTATCACCTTAAGAAAAGCAGTTTCCTTCTTGGCACAATGCTTGCAATCTTCCACGCATGGGCGTCTCGATAATGCATCTGCGTTGCCATGAATTCTTCCGCCACGATGTTCGATTTCAAAGTCAAATTCCTGAAGTTGTTCCAACCATCTGGCTACTTGGCCTTCGGGATCCTTAAACTGAAGCAGCCATTTCAAAGCAGCGTGATCAGTTCTGATCAAAAATTTCCGTCCCAGTAAATACTTCTTGAAATGGTGCAGAGTTTTGACTACGGCCAGCAATTCCCTCCTGGTCACGCAATAATTCCTCTCCGGCTTGTAGTGACTTGCTTGTGTAGTGACTTGCTGAAGTAAGCAATAACCTTCTCCTGCTCACCATCGCGTTGTGAAAGGACACCTCCTATTCCAATATTGCTGGCATTCGTATCTACTACGAATATTCCCTTCGCGCTGGGGTATCCGAGAATTGGAGTGTTACAAAGCCCTTCTTTTAGTTCTCGAAAGGCTTGCTCACAATCCTCGTCCCAGATAAAGGCACGTTTCTCCTCTGTCAATCGATGCAAAGGTTTGGCAATGTCCGAGAATCCTTTCACAAACCGCCGATAATACGAGCACAATCCAAGAAATGCCCGAACTTGCGTTTTGTCTTTAGGTGTTGGCCATTCCTTAACAGCGACAGTCTTGGCCGGATCAGTCTCAATTCCTCTCTCAGAAATAACATGTCCTAGATAATTCACTTCGCGCTTGAAGAAAGAGCATTTCTTTGGACTCAACTTTAAATTTGCTCCACGCAGCTTGTCGAGTACCTTTTCCAATTTCCTTAGATGATCGTCAAAATCCCGTCCAACAATGATGATGTCATCGAGGTAAACTAGGCAGGTTTCGCCCAGCAGTCCCGCCAGCACCTGTTCCATCAAACGCTCAAAGGTTGCCGGTGCATTGCATAATCCAAATGGCATCACCTTAAATTGCCAGAGTCCCTTCCCAGTTGAGAATGCGGTCTTTTCCTTGTCCTTGGGATCCAAATCCACCTGCCAATAGCCGCTTTTCAGATCGAGCGTTGAAAACCATTTCATGCCACTCAGTGTGTCAAGTGTGTCATCGATTCTTGGTAACGGGTAGCTATCCTTCTTGTTTACATCATTCAATCGTCGATAGTCTACGCAAAACCTCGTTGAACCATCTTTCTTCTTGACAAGCACGACAGGTGAACACCAAGGGCTAGAAGAGGGCTCTATCACGTCATTTTTCCTCATATCGTCAATCATTTCTTCAACCTCTTTCTCACGAGCGAATGGTATGCGTCTGGGCAGTATCTAATGTTAGCTGACTGTTTTTCCCATTTACTTGACCGTCTATCACCAGAGTATTTCCATCGTTGGTTTGCTTGATGTAGATTGTTGGGGTTGTTCCACTACCAGCCAGCGCCCACCCCGCAGCCCTGGCTGGATTTAAGTTTCGCTGCTGGTCAGAAGTTGAGACCGCCGCGTCCTGGCGGTTCGCCTTCTTCGGGCAGTCGCTCCGTATGTGCCCACGCTCTCCACATCCATAGCACATGAAGTTCCGACGGCGTGGAGGTACCTGCTCCGTTGTCGTCATTTCCCGCAGACGTAAGGTACGGGAGTTGCCACGCACGGCTTCCACTTCCAATGCATGGGCCAGAGCTTCTTTCATGTTCTTGTGATGGCCCAGATGAACAGCAGCTCGTACTTCGGGGTCCCGAATACCGTCAATGAACGCTTGGAGAAGCGTGCCTTCAATCATTGACGGAGTCGACCGGAAAGCTCGACGCATAAGTTTCTCGATTTCCACGGACCATTGCTGTAGACTCTCATTAGCACGCTGAGTACGCTCTTTTAATTGCGCTCTGTACACGTGTTCGAGGTGGCTGTCTCCAAAACGTGCCTCAAGTGCGTCGAGGAGGGCACTAAAGCTGAGATCCCCACTTGCGCCGATAGCTTCCAGCACTGAGAGCGCTTGATCACGGAGGGCCAGGGTGAGGGCTGACTGTGCTTCCTTCTGAGTCCAACCATAAGCCTCCATCAGTGTCTCAAACTGTAGCTTGAACGCGTTCCAGGATGTTGTTCCGTCGTAATGGGGAATCTTGAGCCCTTTCGTTGCGCTTGAGGCCACATTTGGGGCGTCAAAAACGGCTGCAAGACGGCTTCGGCTCTTCAAAGGGCTTGGGCTTGTCACTTCCTGCCTGATTTTGGAGATCTCTTCTTTCACTCTCTCCTCTATCGCCATGACGCGATGTTCCAACTTGCCTAACCCTTCCTCCACTTCTTGTACCCGTTCAACAGCCTTTTGCAGTCCCTTCGTGAAATCCTTATGCATCTCTTCCAAGCGACGCGCTTGCTCCTCTTGGCGGCGAGCTTGATCCTCTTGGCGACGAGCTTGATCTTCTTTCAGCTCCCGTAGCTGTTCCGCCTGACAGCGTGCTTGCTCTTCTTGGCGGCGCGCTTGCTCTTCTTGGCGGCGCGCTTGCTCTTCTTGGCGGCGCGCTTGCTCTTCTTGGCGGCGCGCTTGCTCTTCTTGGCGGCGCGCTTGCTCTGCCATCATTTGCTGCAGCTGTAGCAGAAGATCCACCTGCACAGGCTTGGCTTCTGCATCGCTGGTTTGAGCTGCAGCACCCTCTTCCCTCACACACTGCGCTTCTGACATTGCACGGGTACTCACTCCTCTTACGTCCTGCGGCACTAGCGGCATTTTTCTCCAATCCCACTTCTGACACCAAATGTTACGAGCCTGACGTCACGTTCCTGACTATGCGGGCTTGGGTTACGGGATTGGATAAAATTAAACACTAATACCGGTTTTCAGACTTTCTATTGCACTTAAATGACAGTTTCCACCGAGTTAAGTTTTCGGCGTTCCTCTCCAGCAGAGTCCGGGCGACTGACACAAACTTCCGTTTGCCGCTCACAGTTCACGCTGACTTTCACTTAACTCACTGCACTTCACTATTTCACTCACTTTTCTTCTTTTTCACTTCTTCCTTTTCTTCCGAATCGCTTTGGACTTAGAACTCAACTGCCAGCGGTGAGCCGCAGTTCCGCTTATATACCCCCGGTCAGGTTCTGGAACATTCAATTTCGTTATTCTTTTTGATCGTCATGCCTCCAGAACCTTCCAATAATTTCGTTATTCATTTTTATTTATTCTCCTTCTCGCTCTTTAATTGTTCATTTCTTTCACACAAATAATTCCAGAAAGTTCGACAAAACTTCTATCAACTAAAAAACTTCATGTTTACGGCGGGACTCGAACTCGGGGTCTCTGTGGTGTAATCCACACGCCTTACCGATTACACCAACTCGTGTTGACAATTCACGACGAAATTTACAATCTCTAGGCAACGTTTGACAACCATCCATTGACGTCATGATGTCAAAGAGTTTGAACCACTTTTCCGTCACAATACCTTACAAACAATATTACCATTACGTCATAGCATCATTAAATTCATCATTTGGCCGCTATCACGGTGGTGAACGATAACGCGACCTATGTAGGAGCATATACTTACACATAAGCAACCTATTCACTCGGGCCTTGGAGACACCCAGGTTATACTCTTCAGGGAACATGACGAGGGATAATGACGAATTTAAGAAATGTTTTTTACAGCGTTGCATTAATTTTTCTCATTATTATACATAATAATCTATGGGGATATTTGCAGCATGTCCAGTACCAAATAAACTATTTTTCTTTCTTCTTTCAAATAGGAACCAAAATTCTCTCGTGTTGCTTCTCAACCTTCTGCCCCTAAATACGATATGACTTATTGTGCGGCCAGTAATTCAATAACTGTGTATTCGTGTTATCTGACAGTTATGGCCGACCGAACCTCATATATGATGCAGGACTGACGAATGGAGGACTATGTCTGTGGTAGCTGACTGATCCTATGACTGTGGATCTCCCTTTGTTTTTAATTTTGTACGTCATTATCTTGGACTTGCAACCCCAATATGTAATAAGCCAACTCCTAAAGTGCTAACTACCAAGTAACTAAGTACCAAATCAACTTACTTTTGAAAATCAAGTTGTTTTAAATCAGCTTTATTTTAACAGAAAGGAGTTAAAAATATTTCTACTATACTACTTATTATGTAAATTGCGGTCGTAAATAAACTGTCAAATGGATGCTGCGTTGAAGAAATTCCAATCAGGGCCTAATATGTCACCGGTTTACGTAACAAACCTTTGTGATGCATTATTAGAATTATCATGACATTAAATCTGTCGGAAATGCGTATAATAATTCGTATTTATAATGAATAGCATGAAAGATAATTATCCTACCTACATATATGTATGTATGTATATGTATCATTTTGTTTCATTATCTAGACCTCTGTTTTGATGTGTAATACGGTAGTTTCCAAATAGTCAAATTCAATACTTTTATCCAAATGTCCAAAACTATATTTTTCTATGAAATTTGTATGAAATGCTGAGTAATGACGTCATAGTATTTAAAAGTCAAATAGCTTACTTATTTCTTAAGATTAGTGTATCGATCGATGAATGAATAAAAGTATAGTAATTTTTCAATATTTTATTGAATTGAAACGTCCAATTAATTTAATTTTCACCTAGGAAGCTCCTCAATTAGCCGACTGCTAACTTCTGGGCAACAAATTATTGGAACGTGTCAAGGTGGAATGTGTATTTGAAATTGTATATTTATGAACGCCACGATTCAGGAGAAAATCGTAATATGGTGCAACGTTCATTAACAAAAAAAAATGAAGTGTAAAATCACCATGATCATCATCATCAGCGTATTTAATAAGTGGTCACTGCTGAACCTCTTCACAAACGGAGAAGGTGAGAGAAAAGCAACATCTTTGTTCTAAACTAATTGGTGCATTAAATATTTGCCAACGTGTTAATTAAGAGACAGTAAAATTTTTTGTTTTTCCATTTTTCTTTCGCTTCTTATAGTTGTCGTAACTGACATACATAGGTATATGTAGGTAGATAATAATTTTAGATGTTTGAAAATAATACGGCTCTATTTACATAATTTAAAGTATGTACCTAATAGGCCCAATTGATGATCAAATTGTTAATGAAAATAGGAAACTTCGTATTTTTTATATGCTACAGTAAAGCCAAGTTCGAAAATAAAAAAAATTAACTCCAATTTTCCACCGAAAAACTTCACAAAAGCGCTTTCATACAGCGACCCACAACACCTATCCACTATTGTTGACAAGACCTGTTATTACGAAGAACAATCACCAATCGAACATTTTTTGTTTCGGATGTAATTTGAGGCAATCACTGGCGATACTCATATCTACATTGTTAGTTAATTACGTGTAAACTAGTTTACTATAACGTTCTAAAAGTTGTATTATTACTAGAACCAAATTGTTTAAAAACTTACGTACCTACCTAGTACCTTTTTTGTGTGGTGAGAGGCTCTCTATTGGCTCTATAAGGCAGTCCGCACACTCGAGTCTGGTTATGTTTGGGTTTTACTCTTGGGTTTTCATAAAGATATTTATTATCAATGAGACTAAGAGATTAGGCATATGCGAGACTAAGAGCGCAAAATTTTTATCAGACATTTTATCCTCAGCGTGTACGGTCACTGCCATAAAATTCAAAGTATTATAGAATTTTGAAAGAAAATCCGCGCGGATGTAGGAAAAGTTTGAAATAAACATTATACTGTATATAGATATTAAGCAATAAATGTTATAAAATATAGAAAACTGTAATCCATTTTAATGTCAATACACGATAATAATATACATAGATATGGTTTTATACCATTTGGCATTCCATTTACAGTAAGGGCCGATTTCACTGCTCAATTTATGGACACCATAGACCACAAACTTGTTTAACCAAAACTCGAAATGACGATTTTCTCATAACACACTGACCTGTCACACACGCCTTTAAATTAGTCCAAACAGGTAATTATTGTGTAATATCATTATCATAAACTTTCTACCAAAACACAGCATTTAGTAAAGCAATACAAACTTTTCTTTGCAGGTGGAAAAAAATTGAACTAAGAAAATTACATACAAAAACTCAACTTAAAAGCTCTCTTGCGAAGACAGTAGCGACATTGTTAACTGTAGAGTTAACTTTGTGATTTTAGTCCAATGGCTTATTTTAAGAATTTATTGTAATTTATTCACTATTCTATTAAAGAAACTGTGACATAACTTACCTTTGTCGATTGATTTATTGGTTAAGGGTGATGTCGAGGCCAATGATGTCGATGATTCTTGGGTTACATACCAACCTAAACCTACATAATTATTATTATAGTTATTCTCTTTGTTTGTTGGTCCACCTCTTTTTCACACCTTTAAAGGTGGTCAGTAAGATTCACTCCAAGTGATGCTTCTCCCCTCCACCCTCCAAAAAGTAGGTACCCCCTGGTCGACACGTCTCGTGACCAGACATTTGATTTGTTCTTCGGAGAAATGGTAAGCATTGTCATACAATGTGGCACTGCTGCCAGCCTTCTGGGCGTTTTCCCCGTTGTCATCGATGCAGATAAATGTTTCGAAGCAGTATCGATTTAATAATTTTTTTATCTTACTTTAAATACTAGTTAAGTATATTTAAAATATGACAAATCATATTACTTATTTCATGACTACTGTTTTTCACAATTAACAGCTGTTTCAAAATAAGATGAATTGACCGGTTAGTCGCTTGTAGAACTGATGCTATGGACAGACAGACAGACATGCTGCCCAACTTCTACCACCACGTGATGTTAAACCATTATTTTAATGAAACCTTTTCATCATATTCATACAACAAAACAAAATTAAACTTACAAATACAACACTTGACATATCTACAATATTCCCACTTCTATTGTAGGTACAAAACTATTTTTATAAAAGAATCTAGGTATATTACCTTTTTACGAAAACCCACCATCATAATTATAACGATAAAATACAGCAACGAATCATATTCAAATTATTTACTGGTTACAACAAAAAAAAACGAAATACAACAATCTGATAAATATGCGCTATCTCATTCAAAAACCTATTTCAATATGACCTGCGTTTTCCAATATTTCCGATTGGTTCTCTGAAATCTCTATATTTGTTTGAGTGGCACTCAATGTGACAGGATTTAAAATTCTACAGTTTTTTTTTTTCGACTGTGATGCCAGTGGTACTCAATTCAATTTTAAAATTGGAATCTGTGCAGACAAAACTCTTTGCAGAATTGTAAAAAATAAATAAAAATAAGTCGTGGTGGCCCTGTGTGTAAGGCTACTGTTACAACTGTTGTACTTTCTATGATTATAGACACTAATGACGTATGTACTTACGTTGAAGCTTGAGCAAGCGTTTTGATTAATGCTCAAACCTTCTCCGTGTGAGAAGAGGCTTTATCTCAACAGTGTGACGTGAAATAAAAATAGATAATATGTATACTCTACTGATTATTGTGTACTAGAAAAACTGAGAAAAACCATAATTTTATTGATGACACTTTAATATATTGCTTCAATCACATCTTTTGTTCCCTCTTAGGTAGATAGACTAGCACGCACCCCCAAGAACATCAAGTGAACTCTTGGCCAATGAAGCAATCCAAAAAGCAATTAAATTAAAAATAATACACAAGTAGACATGAACAAGTCTTCATAAATCATTGCATTTTAAACCTAATCTACCTTGACATAAAAGTCAAACTAAAGTAAAGTGATCTATCAAACTCGGGCCAAAGTTCGCTAGGTAATTACGATGTACTTACAGCTTGTGTTTTTGTTTCAAAGTCAATTTCGTTATATTTCGAGTAACATTAAAAACGACCTTAGAACTGTATATTTAAAGACTGAAGTTAAATATCTTAATAGTTAAGAGTTTATAAACATATCTACGAAATAGGGGTCATAGTTTAAAAAAAAAGAACAGATAATATCTTCATAGTAACCACTTTTCATTTCCTATCTAATCCTATAGTGACTATACTTACTAGGTTCTTATAGAAAAACATATGAATGGTGCCTTAGTTGTGTTGTGGCCTAGCTATATTTGACACAGGGTAATTTTACAATGAAATGATTTTATGAGGGACTTTGCTGAGTACCTATGTGACTTTTTCTGAGGTATATGTACTGTCTATGATTATTTAGACACCACTGACATATTTAAGGCAGAGGGAAACATCGGGAGGAAACCTAGATATTTCTAATAATAAGTTTGAAATCGCCAATCCGCCTTGAGCAAGCGTGGTGATTAATGCTTAAACCTGCTCCGTATGAGAAGAAGCTTTTGCCCAGCAGTGGGCACTTATACGGTGATAATATAATTTTAATCTTTGTAAAGTTTAGTAATACCGTAGCGTCCTTTAAGATATGAAAGATCAAAACACGCATCTTTCTGACCAATTGAAAGCTACAGCTTCCTTACTTCGATACAGTTCTACGTACAAGAGCTCATTGTGCCCGAAACAACCTTGTAATAGTATTGAACCGTGTGAATACACGTCAACAGTAAAGTTTTTGTCCTAAGATTACTCTACAGTACAAAAACAATGTGAACTGTCTCCTGCATTGAAATTTGCAACACAATTGTTAAAAAAAAGCACTTTAAAGTGAGCTGAGAATAGTTCTAACTGGTGATTAAGATTTGATTTTAAGATACCAAGATCGTAAATAGGTAATCAAAAGCAACAATTACTGTGTTGCAGTTACGTATGTAGCTCATAGCTATCGAGAGTGGATTAAGCCATAATATTACGGATCACGATTTTTTTTTATGGTATAAGTCGACAAACGAGCCTACGGATTACGGATTATGGGTCGGCTCGACCGGAGCGATACCCCGGCCTCACAGAAAACCGGCGTGAAACAACCACAACGTTGTGTTTCGCAGTATGAGTGAGGTTACCGGAGCCCCAATCTTTTCCCTCCCCCAATCCCTAAATTTCCAAATCACAAATCTCCAAAATGTTGGCAACGCACTCGTAGCTCCTTTCTTGTAGCGGGAGTCCATAGGCGGCGCTGATTGCTTACCATCAGGTAATCCGTATGCTCGTTTGCCGACCAATAACATAAAAAAACATCAGTTTATATTCTCCCAACATTCAATCCTGATGTTGTATTTTTCTGTTTTGTTCATTAGAGGCTGTACATCCGACACGGCTATCTCTGGTTTCAGAGATACTATTCCACTATAACAATTTATATCAACGGGTTCGCCTTGGAAACACTTAACTAAATTGAGTTTGAACGAAACGGAAAATAAAACATAATACTGCAGCTATCAGATAGCAATAGAAATGATTTTGAACAATGTATTGTTATTGCACGAACTGTTTTGTTGTTTGGGGCAATAGTAATCAGTAATAGATAGTGAAATATCTATTTATTTATTTATTATAAGGTAGGCTCAAAGCTTATGTATACAAAGTGGTTTAAAGTAATGGTTATAGGCAGTAGGTCATATACATTAGCCAGTTACGAGCTAACCAACATTATAAAAATTATGCGATTTTCGTAATTAAATTACTACTAATTAAATTAACATAGGTAATACAACAGTATTAATCATATTAAAGTAGGTATTAACTAAATAAAACATCAGTTATGAGTAGGGTTAAAATTGTCACTTTGAGGTAATACAACAGTATTAATCATATTAAAGTATTAACTAAATAAAATATCAGTTATGAGTAGGGTTAAAATTGTCACTTTGCCACACAATTTTTGAGTGCAAGTTGATTGTTGTCCTGATGATTTTAATATTTTAAACAGATGGGTTTTACTAGCCTCTTCATGAGTGATATACAGTAACCAAGAAGTATGACAATACTAGCTTTTGCACGCGAATCCGCTCGTGTGAAATAGCGACTTCCTGCAGATTTTTGGTATAAAAACTACCCTACGTTCTCGAGTTCCAAACTATGTCTGTACCAAATTTCACAGAAATCGGTTCAGTAGTTTAGGCGTGAAGAAAACGCATTTGTGATATTATAGTATAAGTAGGTTATGTTTCTTGTTATTTTTATTGAAGGAAATTTTATCCATAATTTTATAAATTATTTTTTTAGGACGACACATAGTCCTTTATTTAAACTATCTGATCTAAAACTGTCCTCAACTATAGGGGATAGTCTAAAATCCGCGTATCTCGCAGTTCCAAATCATATTCCTAATATAATAAATATCCTATGCTATTTAATTCAAATTGAGAAAAAAAGGAACTTGGTACTTTCAGCAGATACATAGAATGATCTAATGCCTTTTATATTAACTTAGCGCATGGGGCTAGTAACAAACCGAAAAGGGAAACCCATACACGTCTTACCTTATGATATCGCTATTCCCCATCCAAGTACCTGTATCACCGTAAACAATGCATGTTAATTATTTTAAAGCTAAAGTTAAGTAAATGCTGTAAAGATTCAATAGCAATTAAGATGCTAGCTTGCAGCCATTCAGTGAGAGCTCGTTCAATTAATCTCCGTCTCTGTCATTCCTTTTTTATATTACCTTCATTAGTTCCTTCTTGTCTGAATTAGGTTTCAATTTAATTATAGCTTTATTTCCTTTTTTTGTTTCTTTATCAAGCTTCATTTTCCGTAAAAGCGATTTACAGAGTATCTAGTGTACCTCTGCCTGGTTGTTAATTCGTACTTAGTAAGTTAAGGGAATCGTCTGGTATTTTTTCAATTTTTTTCTTCATGTTTTAATACAACACCAAGTGGACTTATCGAAGAGCCGGTAATAAAAAAAGAACCACTAAATAAATATGTGTTTAATTGATACGGCAAATGAGCCGACAGACACTCGCAGTCCCAGAGGAGTTGCGTTACCGGCCTTTTGGTTTTCCTTTTGTCGGAATTGGAGAGAGATGGGGGTAAGGGAAAGAGTAGGCCTCCGGTAACCGCAGTCTCACGGCAAAACACAACGCCAGTTTTCTGTGAGGCCGTGGTTTCACTCCGATCGACCTGCCCATTCGTGCCGGAGCATGGATATCTCACACTCTGTCTGATACAAAGAAAATATTGTACTTAGTAAAACTGAGCTAAGGCATCAACGATGTAGCTCCTCAATTCTAGGTATAGTTAAATACTTTCTCTATTTGTAAATAATCATGTTTCCATATGTTTCCAGTGTGCCTCACCACATGGGCCGAAGCTCAGAATGGTAGAGGGCAGCACCAAGATCACAACGGTCATGGGTGGGACATTCGGCTAGCGGTTCCGGGAGAACCGGGCAGTGATTATCCCACCCTCGGCGCTATACCCAGGACCTCCTTCTCATGCGCTGGAAGAGAACCAGGTAATTTGCGAATAGAATTCTCCTATATTTACATATATGTCAATAGTAAAACCGTTTTTGACTTACAACATTTAAATTAGATCTATTGTGTTTTATGTTGCAATTTGCATTCATCTCTGATCCGTATCCTTGTTCGGCTCATGTTTATTAAGCAAGTTACTTTTACAATTTCAGGTTATTATGCTGACTTGGAAACGAACTGTCAAGTATTTAGAGTATGCACCGTTGGTTCAACATACGGCTTCCAATCGTTCCTTTGTCCAAACGGAACTCTGTTCAACCAAGCAGTCTTCGTGTGTGACTGGTGGATGAACGTCGACTGCCAGAATTCTCAACAGTTCTTCAACAACAACAACGAAAAATTCGAAAATCTGAGACTAGGACCACAACTCATGAAAGATATAAAGAAGATGCTCACACATCCAATGCTAAATCCTTATGACAAGAATGCCATGAAGAGCAATCTCATCGTGATGCAAGACTACAAGCCACCAATTGGCCAACTGTTCCCAAATGGAGCACTACTAGCCGGTCCTGAGAGAGCTCCAAACAACGTTTATGTTCCCGCAAAACAAATTCAACAAAATCTAATTCAAGGAAACCAAAACGATTACGCATTTTCTGCATCTACACCTGACCCGAGATATATCCCTGCTCCTCTTAACTTTGCGCCACTACAAAGAGATGCAGAGGTATTCCAAAGGCAAAGACAAAATGAGCCTTTTAACTCAGTAAATAGTATTCAAAACGCCAGGGTACAAACGACACAAATATCACAAACTGGAAATTTAATTTCTAATGGTCATGCTGGCAGATTTACACAAAATTCTAATGCAAACTTTGTCAACAACAATGGATATGGACAGGCGCCACGTCCAACACAAACCACTAACACTTTCTCACAGAGACAAACATCACAAGTGATAAATAATAACAATGACAAGACACAAACGAATCAAAGAGTACAAAACAACAGACCACGTGCACAATATTCTGAACCTAGAAGACTACCGCAAATTAATAATGAAGTACCCTTTTCGAAAATCCAAAATAATGGAAACAATAACCAAAATAAACAACCATACACATACAGCCCACCGACAACAAATATTCCAAAATATTCAAATAACTTAGACAACCCAGCTGGTAGAGAGTTAAAAGAAAATCTGGTAAGTACAGTCAAAGATGTACCATCAACTGTTATAACTAAGACTTTAACATATAGTAGGCTTGTGCAAGAGCCAAAGCCAGGTAAACCAAAATCCAGAATAACCATCAAAACTTGGATTGTTAAACCGACTAAAGCAGCTAAACTTATAGCAGACCCGACTCCTTATACATATTCTAGGCCTTCAGCGCCAACTCCTTCTTCTCCATCACCAACGGCTAGGCTCATAGAAGAAAATACTCCATATGTTTATGATAAGCCCACTGTTTCATCTCAAACTGAGAGAGTTATTTCACAAGAACTAGATTCTGAATTAGAATCAGAAGAACCTTACGTATATTCTAGGCCGACGCCAGCCGCTAAACAGATTGAAACTACAGAAATACAAACTACACGTATTTTCATTGCTCCCTCAACAACTTTGCCGACTCGTCCCACGTTTTCAGGACGATTGAACTTCCCGCAAACTTCTGCTCTTCCTACAAAAGCTTCGCGTTTGTATCTCACTCCGTCACCATTTACATCAACAGCTCGGTTCTATCTACCTCCACCGCGAAACCCTACCACACTTCCTCGACTATATTTACCCGCAAACAATATTCAGCAACCCTTTTACTATCAAGGTTCTCAATTACGAGCCTCCCCTACCATACCCACATCTACAATCGTATCTTTTACAGAAAATGTAAACCAGCCTTCATTTCCCGTATCGAGACAATCTCGGATTAATACGAACAACCAAAATTTGACCTTCGCGGATATACTGACCAAAGAAAAACTTGACATAACTGTCAATGACATTGTAAAAGATACAGACGTAATTTTAAAAACAGCGTCTCCTCCTCAATACACGGAATATCGTAAAGAATTCAAATCCTTTGAATACCCAGAAAATTATTCTTCATCAAGAACCACTACTGATAGCGGTGAAAATTTGACGTCGCAAGTTCCGACACAAACTACAACAGTCACTTCAAAAAGTTCTAGAATTATTGCAACGCCTGCAACCAGCCTGCAACCTCCAAACGAAAACTTTATATTCCAAAATAATAATCGGCTCTCAAACTTACCTTTCTTCAAAGAAAGTGGCATACCAAACACAATAGAACGCACAGTATCAATAAAAATAACAATTCCCGAGAGAATCGCTGCATTCCTTTTCAAAAACCGAAGTGATTCCGAATATGATAAGTTAGAAATACTGAATACTGGAAGCAGCAACTACTTAGTTATGAGTAATAACTTACTAACGAAAAATAATGCGTTCAATTTCATTCCAATCGCTAAATTAATAGGAAACCAAAACTCAAACAACTTTTCTGATTCACAGGCGCTCGTGTATTCATTCTTGACTGACTCTATCAACGTAGCGAGAGAATACAATAACAGAGCACAACAAGAGATATTATCATCTACATCGACACCCGCACCACCACAATTCCCGAATATCAACAGTGAGAAACTATCACAAATTACTAATCAAATATCACAGCTTACCTCATCACAATTCTCTAGTAACAACCTAAACAGCTTCGAAACTAATGCAAACATAATTCAAACACCTAAAACGAATACTAACCAACTTTCTAATCAGTTCACAAACAATGCAAAATACACTAATGAAGGAAATCAGGCACAACAAATACGCACTAATCAATTCATATCTTCACAACAAACTCCAGCTGAATTTTACTCATCACGTTTACAAGTTCCTAATACTCAGTCAAATATTCTTAACACTCAAAACTTATACAGTGGTCAATTATATCAATGGTCTGTTCCAGATGTTACACAAATCTACAACAACCCAAGCGCTGCAAACATCGTTATTCCCAGCAATATACAACAACAGACAACACAAATGATCAGTTCACAAAGAAACGCAAATCAAAACAGTCCGGTAGATAACTTTAAGCAATCAACCCCTCAATTCGAAGTTGTAAAAGCGGAAACTGTTGCTTTAAATCCAGCCAAACTGCAACTCGAGCCGCCTAATGAAGCAGAACAATTAAGCAGTCAAGAAACACTTAGTAGTCTACTAAACAGTGGAAATGGTATTTCAGCACAGTTACAAGATAAAATTGTAGGCACAATCCCACACCCATTAGAAGAGAATAAATTACTTACATACAAAAAAGATCAATCATACTACCTCTACACTAAGTTAGAAGACAACACTATTGAACAAAATTCTCAAACAAACCAGCAGAGTAATTCACAAATCAATACTTCACAGAATGCTAAATTGACTCAAGGCACAAACAATAACATGGCTGACTTAGTTTCGTTCCAACTTATACCATCAGTTAGTTATGAATTAGAGGATGAGAAAGAGCAGCAGAAGTTCCTTAATGCTTTCCAAATAGATGAGTTTGGTGCACCAAGAGACATTGTTAAGAGTGATCAAAAGATAAATCGAGGACAAATCATGACTTCAAACATTGATTACTCCGTGGAACACCCGACAACAGTTAAGCAAAATGAGCAATACGTAGTAAACCCTCTTTATTCTGGTCCTTCTTCATACACTGCTCCTCAATCTTCAGTTGGTAGTTTAGAATCTAGACAGATACAAAATAATTATAATTCCAGATTAGAAGATTTTGACAGCAGTAATCATAATGGCTATCCTAAAGAACGACCGGCACGCCAATTTTTCAAATAGACAAGTAACTAAATACAAGTTTGAAATAGGAATGTTGTCTTCGCACAGATAAAAACGTTTGTGTCAATGTACCTTACCGTACTGTGTACTTACTGTACCTAATGTAAATACAATTAGATGTAAGAAATAAATAAACGAAAAAAATTAAATTGGAATAAGCATATTTCGAGACTTGACTGTAACCAAAAAAGAAGAAATCAAATAGTAATTTTAGGTTAAGTTTATTAGAATAATTAAATATGTTTTAGGACGATACTCGTTATCTAAGTTACGTTAGAAGTTTGAGCCTATTTGCTGATGTGTGAATTGTTGTACTTACTACAATATGTGTGTGATAATAAAGGAATATTTTAATTAAGACTTTTTAATAATTTATTCATTACAAATTCATCACTATAGTAAAAAAAACGACTTAAAAAAGTACACTAAAAGAAAAAATAAATTTGCTTTGTCAATTAATACATATTTTTACGTAATTAAATAGAAAATAATATTAAATAACTTTTTATACTTAATTTTGAATTCACAACACGCGATCTAATACGAAATTCATAAAAAAACTGTCGAGTTTGACATTCCAAAAAAGCGGACAGACATGGCAAACCTATAAGAATTCCTAGTTTATTACGGAACCCAAAAAATTCATTTGACTAGTTGTCAAAAACCTTATCCCAATGTTTAGGTGATGCTTCACAGGCATACTAAGACCTAAACTAATTTCAAGTTCATTTTAAATGTGTTAAAGATGAATTCTCTGATGGTAAGCAATCGGCGGCGTCGCCCAACGGGTACCTATACCGCCGTTTACCCGAATTTTATTATCATAATATCATTTGCCATAATAGTCAACAGACATAATACCTATCATACGACTTAATACTTATTTGCCCTATTCTCATTATGGCATATAATCTTCGGGCAAACAATAGACAACCCGTCCATGGACTACGCAAAAACGGACCTTTTAATAATAATAATAATAACCCCACCGATGTATCTCTACGTTGTCGGCGTGGTGGGGCTTAAGGGCTCTGACCCTTAGTCTTGTGTCGGTTTAGTTCACTTAGATCGAGATAGGGCTGGGGCGAAGGGTCCGACCAAAAGAGATACAACCCAAGCTAAGGTTGCATACGCTGAGAGCTGCGTGACTAAGGGGGTGCTTAGTCGTGAGTATGCCAACTCTGGAGACCAGGGGACCTCCAGTTTCATTTACCCTTGCCACAGTGAACGCAGGGCTCTGCTGTGGTCGACTTTTTAGGTCCCTAGCTACTCGTGGGAATCATATGATTACTAGATCAAAACTTAAAAAACAATCCCAACCAGATGACGAATCTTCCCAATCTTCTCCGTCATCATCGAGATCTCTTTTCCCCTCGGTTTCATCATCATCACAATCTTTCTGCGTTTCTCCGACGCCATCTTCATCATCAACGGTTCAGTCGGTGGATGTTGTACAGCTGACAAATTCTGTCGATGAAGCTGTACCCACCACGAGCACTGCCAAAACTCGTAGAAAATGGACGACAGACGACAGACGACAGAACGAATTCATTCTACGAAACTATCTTCTTCTCACTAATCTAGAAACTGATAAAAATGCTTACCTCCCGTCATTACATATAAAATTCCTAGAAAAATATCCATCCATGGAAGTTAGTCGTCAGCGCATAGGCGACCAACGTCGAGCAATAGTCCAAAAGAAACTTTTACCACAATCAAAGATAGATCAGATTTATGATCAAGTTAGAGCCGAACTACAAATAACACCAATAACACAACAGCACTTAACAACGGCCCAAGTAACTAATATACTACCTGGACAACGCATGAGATGGACAAATGAATACAATGAAACAATAATGAAAATTTATTATAAAATCACTTTCTTAGAAACTAATAAAACAGCATATAGGAAATCTTTACATGAACAGTTCATAAATATTCACCCAGAGTTATCCCATATCACAGAGCAAAGGCTGTCTGATCAAGTTAGAGCAATTACAAACAATAAATTTATTACTGTCAAAAGGTTAGCAGAAATAAAAAAACAAGTTTCTGAACAATTAATACACGAAACAAACACAAATCATAACTTAAATAGACATTCAAATATCCCGGAATATCCTGATGGAAGTAATCAAGCACACTCATTCATATCTGACACACTTACTCACACAAATGACATCTCGCATGATGCCATCATAAACACGGATAATACGATCACGCCAAACTCTTTAAACGTAGATGACAACTTCTTGAATGATATTCAACTAGAACAATTCGACACAATACACGCAAACCAAAACGAAACAGAAATAAATCAAGAGCTAGAAGATTTATTTGAACAAGCATACGAATATTTTATTGACACAGATCCCACCAAAAGGCCATACATCCCTAAACAAAGAACATCAAGAAAATTTTCCATTATTGTAAATTACATCAACAATATTATTCTTCCCAAATACGCTAACACAGATACTGACTTCAACAATTTACAAACTATAATTTACTCTGCTGCTTCGACAGCAGCTAAATATAATGGAGCTAAAATATCATTCACTATACAGACTGAACGACAAACAACTACCAGAAAACCAAAATGGCAATTATTTGCTAGTTCTTATGATTAGAAAAGAAAATAAGATTTTTAAGGGCAAATATAGGAAGATTATCACAATACATAAGAGGCACTAGAAGTCAAAGATTAGTAGCAGCTGTAGAAGTCATAAAAGCAAAGTACCAATTACATGCACAATACGAAAACCCCAATACACAATTGACACACTTTCTGGATACAATGAAGCAAAAGTTAAATGCAGCATCTAGCAGGCTTAGGAGATACATTACATGTACAAACCGTAAACTAGAAAATAGTAGGTTTTCAAATAATGAAAAATTCTTCTATAGAAACCTAACATCCAAAGGCACCTTAACCCAAAACGTACAAACACCTTCTGCTGAGTCACTCCGAGAATTCTGGGCAGGTATTTGGGAAAACCCAGTGTATCATAACAATACAGCAGCTTGGTTACACGAGGTAAACTTAGATCACGAGGGAATGGAGTTCGAATCTATACCTATAGACACATTTATACATGTTATCAAAAACACACACAATTGGAAATCACCTGGTACAGACCACATACACAACTATTGGTATAAAAAATTCACAAGTTTACATCCTTATCTATACAATCACCTAAATACATTCATCCAATCACCACATTTGCTACCAACATACATCACCCAGGGTATTACATATATGATACCTAAAGATATGAATGATACTACAAACCCGGCTAAATATAGACCAATTACTTGCCTTCAAACCTTTTATAAAATTATAACAACTTGCATCAGTGAACTAATCTATAATCATTTAGAAAAGAACGAATCTTTAGCAGAACAATAAAAAGGATGTCGCAAATACAGTCAAGGCTGTAAAGAGCAGCTCACTATTGACGCTGTCGTTATGAACCACGCAGCCAAGAATAAAACAGATATTCACACAATGTTTATAGATTATCAAAAGGCTTTTGATTCAGTCCCACATAGCTGGTTGCTGCAGGTATTAAATCTATATAAAATCCACCCAACAATAAAATTATTTCTACAATCTACTATGCAAAACTGGCAAACTGTTCTTAACATCAATCAAACCAAGACAAAAATAGTCACTCAACCAATTTACATAAAAAGAGGTATCTTCCAAGGCGACGCTCTAAGCCCTTTGTGGTTCTGCATGGCATTGAATCCACTCTCACACCTATTGAACAGAACAGATGCAGGTTATACCCTAACAAATAATGGTACACAATACACACTAACACATCTAATGTATATGGATGATATAAAGTTGTACGCAGCAGATGAAATGTTATTATCCCATTTAGCAGATGTGACACAACAATTCTCAACAGATATCTGTATGCAATTTTTTTTTTTTTTTTTTTCATGTAATAGGTCGGCAAACGAGCAGACGGATTACCTGATGGTAAGCAATCAACGCCGCCCATGGACACCCGCAACGAAGGAGTTACGAGTGCGTTGCCGACCTTTTAGGGATTAGGGATCTGGAGATTTAGGGATTGGGGAAGGGTCCGGGAAGGGGAAGGATTGGGCCTCCAAATTTGGAGTAGACAAGTGTAAAGTTATGTCAGTAGTCAAAGGAAAAGTTGAAAATAACAGTTACACACTACAAACAGGCCAAACTATAGAACCCATGGACGAGCATGACACATACAAATATTTAGGCTTTAGGCAATCTAGACAAATACAACACAAATACATAAGACAAGAACTCATAAAAAAATTTACACATAGACTCAACCTTATTCTGAAGACAAATTTAAACGCTAAGAACACAATCAAAGCTATTAACACATTTGCAATACCCACTCTCACATACTCATTTGGAATAATACAATGGTCTAAAACAAATACCCGAAAATTACAACAAATCATTAACACAACACTCACCAAACACCGAAAACATCATCCCAAATCATGCATACAACGACTTACATTAACACGTAAAGAAGGAGGAAGAGGATTAATTGACTTACAAAATCTACACAATAAACAAATTTCAAGTCTTAGAACCTATTTCCACAGAAAATCAGATTACTCGATACTTCATAGACAGATTGCAGAAACTGACAAAAACTTCACACCGCTAAACTTGCAAAGCCGTGACACGCAATCCAATGAAATCATTTATAACAATGAAGACAAGATTGCAATATGGTCAGAAAAAGCGCTTCACGGGAGACATCGATCCTTCTTGAGCCAACCACACGTCGATAAAATTAAGTCGAACGAGTGGCTCACACGTGGTGAATTGTTTCCTGAAACAGAAGGCTTTATGCTGGCTATCAAGATCAAGTGATAGCAACCCGCAACTATAGGAAATATATAATGAAAGATCCTAATCAGCAAAATGGCCTATGTCGACATTGCAACCTCGCCTCAGAAACCATCCAGCACGTTACTGGAGC